ATTATGTGCATACTGATATAATTCAATTTGTAGTAACACCAAGATCAAAGTTCAGGTTTACGATGTGTTTCCAAGACTACCAAGTGAGTAATGAACAGAAACCGCCCCCCCACCCCCGCCACACAAACTCACCCCCCCCAAATCCTTAAGAAATTCCTTCTGCTTTGTATGTTTAAAAGTATTAAGAGGGGCTCTCAAAATGAAGCATATTAAAACATGGCTATCTTACATAGAGCTTCCATATGATCCAGCAATTCCACTCCTAGGTGTTTACTCAAAGGACACAGAAACATCAATTCCAAAGAGCACCTGCACCCCTATGTTTATAGCAGCACTGTTTACAATAGCTAAGCTTTGGAAACAGCCCAAATGCCCAAAAATAGATGACTGGATCAAGAAGATGTGGTACATATACACCATGGAATATTACTCAGCATTCAAAAGAGATAAACACATGCAATTTGCAGCAACATGGATGGCACTGGAAGGGATTATGCTCAGCGAAATAAGCCAGAAAGAAAAAGAAAAATACTGGGCCTCCCTGGTGGCGCAGCGGTTGAGCGCTGGGTTGCAAAGCTGCCCACAGCCTCTGCCACGCCGGTTCGATCCCCGGCTGCTCCTCGGCCACCGCAGGAGGGTCCCACATGGCGCGCAGACCTCTCCTGCCGCCCGCTCCTCCCCTCAGCAGTGTGCTTCGGTCCTTCTGCCTGTTCTGTTCCCTGCTCTGGCTCTGGTGAATTCTCTCACCCTCCCGCGCTTCTGACTGTACCCAGTGCATGTATAAATAAATAAATAAATTAATTTAAAAAAAAAAGGAAAAAAAAAAAAGAAAAAGAAAAATACTGGATGGTCTCACTCACAGCACGAATCTAGAAAACTTAAATAAGGGACCAGGAAAATGAATAACTATAAGAAAGTGAAAATCAAAATCAACAAAAAACTATGAACCAGAGACACTCTATGGGGGTGGAGGAGGGGAGGGATTGGGGTCAAAATAAGGGGGTTGCAATTGTATGGGCAATAAAAGTAAAATTTATTTAAAAAAAATAATTAAAAAAAATAATAAAACATGGCTATCTTCTCTGAAAAGCCAAAAAGGGAATGGGGTTGGGGGGGTGGAATAAGAGGGATGAAACAAATTCTGCTAAGCTTTGAGAAATTTGTAACAAAACTTTCAATAACAAATTTACACCACCACTAGACTGAGGTGGGAAAAAATCCTGAAGTAAGGAATGAAAGATACAATATTAAAAAAAAAAACATTCAATTATCAAACCTGAAAAGTAAAACAGTTTCTGCTCAAAGTTTACTTCTAAACTGTCATTGTTCTCATGCCAGATTCTTACATGTTCAACAACTCTGTTCTTCAAGTCTTTCCACCTTTTTTCACCTTCCTCTGTATAGCCAAAAACATCAGTTGCCGGACTCTCCAAAGAACCTTTTCTTAATTCCATTCCATAGTCTTCAACAAGTGTGGACCAACGCATCAACTCCATTGTGGTAAAAAGTTTTAAAAGATCCCTGCAAATTGCATAAAACTTAATATTCCAAATCTATAAAAATTAACATCTAATACAGAGCAAAATTTTAGTATCAACAAAGACTGTTTTATACATTTTTATTTAATACAACAAGATACATGTTGTCATTTGTTCTGCCAACTTTGCCATCATTTTTACCACAGTAACTCGAACAGAGCAGATTAGCACTAAATAAACTGCTCTCTCATTATTCTATTTGACAATCTCTGGAATAACTGGCTGTAAAATGATTAATAAAAAATCCATTGTGCTTTTGTCTAATATCTGTTTTATGTCGTAAATTTTCAAAAGTATTTCTGAACATTACAAAGCCCTAAACAAAAGCTGTTAAAGTGAGTTTAAAATAAAATTTCTTGGGCCTCCCCAGTGGCGCAGTGGTTGAGCGCTGGGTTGCGAAGCTGCCCGCAGCCTCTGCAGCGCCGGTTCGATCCCGGCTGCTCCCCGGCCACCGGAGGAGAGTCCTGCCGCCCGCTGCTCCCCTCAGCAGTGTTCTTCGGTCCTTCTGCCTGCTCTGCTCCCCGCTCTGGTGAATTCTCTCACCCTCCCGCGCTTCTAACTGTACCCAGTGCATGTACAAACAAACAAACAAATAGATAAATAAATATACATGCCTCTTAAAAAAAAAAAAAATAAATAAAATTTCTTGATAAGTGGTTTAGAATGAAGTATGCTATAATCTAATTACAATAATTTCTAATTACAGTGCTAAAAAAATTTCACTTTTCTCCAGATATATTCTTGAATAGAATCTGCAGACAACTAATTCTAATTAAGAAATCTATACTCAACCAATTTTCTCTCCAAATGGCATTTCTACCGAAATATACCATACTCATTATAAACGGTGTTTCTACTGAGATGTACTAATTTTAAAAAGTACTTACTTGTATTTAGGAATTTCTTCTAACTTCTTATCACCACTTATTCGATGAACCAAATCTGATTGTTCGTTGTCAAAAGGAGCCAAGATAACATAAAGGACAACACTTTTCAGAGCCTAAAAAAGTTGTACAACATAATTATAACGTATAAGGGGAAAAATTCTTTCCAGGCTGCCCAATTCATAGTTATCTTCCTGTAATACTTAGTTTTCATAAAATTATGACAATAAACCTTTGATAATTTGAATAGTAACCCAGGGTGACATTTTCTTGACAAGTATATAAAGAAATAGCTCTCATAATAAATCAACAGCAAATACATGTACAATATGTACAAATATAAATATAAGCTATTTAAATTAGCTTTATAAAGTAATTTTCCAAGGTAATGCTAGGTCTTAATAGAAGCAGCACCATCCAATTACATATAATTACTGAAGTTAGTTATTTCAAAATAAATTTTAAAAATTTAAATTCTTCCTAATAAGTGTCAATGTCAAGTAAAGGAAAAGATTCTTACCTGTTGCCACTTTTCACTTTCTGCTTGTATACAAGGAGTGTCATATATTGCTCTGTAGTGCTTACAAATAGACAAATAGGAGCCCTCATGCTGATCCAGTTGAATCATTAAGTTATAGTATTTCAACTTTAATTTCTGAAAAAAAGAAATGAAAAAAGAAATTGGAGCTTATAGTCTACACCCACCCCCAACTACTTTTTTTTTTTTTTTTTTAATAGAGGCATGTTTTTATTTATTTATTTATTATATTTGTTTGTTTTGTTTATACATGCACTGGGTACAGTCAGAAGCGCGGGAGGGTGAGAGAATTCACCAGAGCCAGAGCGGGAGCAGAGCAGGCAGAAGGGCTGAAGTACACTGCTGAGGGAGCAGCGGGTGGCAGGAGAGGTCTGCGCGCCATGTGGGATCCTCCTCCGGTGGCCGGGGAGCAGCCGGGGATCGAACCGGCGCCGCAGAGGCCGCGGGCAGCTTCGCAACCCAGCGCTCAACCGCTGCGCCACCGGGGAGGCCCCACCCCAACTACTTTTAAAGTAAATTTACAGTAAGAGATATGATTACCTCTGTATTTTCTTCCTGGAAAAACTTGGTATTAATTTTCTTGCTGATGATTTGTGTGCGAATATAATCCTTCACAGCTAGGCAGAGCCTCATTTGCTCCAAAATAAATTCCACTCGCTCTTTCTTTTCCATTGACCCGTAGGTTTCCACCTGGTAAAGTCCCCAAAAGTGATTTAGTAATTTTAAAAACTGCAATGAAATCAGGTATTAAAATATGCACCCTTGTAAAAAATAAGGATCTTCACTATATGGGAAGAATGATGACAATAATACAAAAAGTTAGCTTTCTCCAGGAAATTACAATGGCAAAAAAAAACAACAACAATAAGATTATACAGTAAAATGACTTTCCCCCCCTTTCATATAAAGTTCTATGAATTTTAGCACATTTGGAGGTGTGTATAAACACTATCACAATGAAAATATTAAACAGTCCATAAAAAAGGAAAAAGATACAGAACAGTTCTAGCACCCCAAAAACTCCCTCACGCAGCTCCCTTTTGTCATACCTTCCTCACTCTGCAACGCCTAAAAATCAATCTGTTTTCTATCACACCTACTCTTTTTAAGAATGTTATACATAGTATGCAATCTTTTGAAACTGCCTTTGTTCACTCAGCATAATGCTAAGTGGAATAGTAAGAATCCATTGAAATTGTTGTATCTATCTAGTAACTCATTCCCGTACCCTTGCCTTTTTCAGTTCATTCTTTTTTTTTTTATAATCAAGCAGCATTCTATTGTATGAACTAGCTTTTCTACTCATCTCCAGAACGCCATCTTGGCTGGTTCCATCTTTTGCCTACCACAACAAAGCTACTCTGAGTATCAGTAAACAGGTTTTGTGTGAAGAAAGTTTTAATTTCTCTTGGGTACACAGGAGTGGGACCACTGGGTCATATGGTAAGTGTGCCTGATTGTATAAAGATCTGCTAACTGTTTTCCAAATGGCTGCACCATTTTGCATTCCCAATAGCAGCATAATGAGGGCTCCAGTTGCTTTGCATCCCTGCCAGCACTTGGTGTTATAGCAGTATTTTTCAAATTTTAGAGTTTCTAATAGGTATAAAATGGTAACTCACTGTAGTTTTAATTTGCATTTTTCTAATAGCTAATGAGGACACTGCAATTCTCAGTAAGAAAAAAGATACCAGTTGCAGACTTTCTATTTATGTAATAGTTGAAATCACACCATAAAATAAGGTACTAGTCTTCAAATTTCAGGTAAGGCTAATAAGATTCCTAATGGTTAGAGAATGTGGAGTTAACACAGACCATACACAAATACAGCATAAAGAATCACATCAAACACTATGGAAAATGATTCTTCTACAATATTTGTTATTAATACAAAATAGTATAAATGAATTTAAAAGTCTAGAATGGCTCATTTACAATGTAGAATTAAATAAGGATATCATTATTATTTGGTTTGAAGATATTTTACTTCATCGTTTTGTGATTTTTTATTCATCAATGTTTTATTTATAAATCATTTTCCTCCCTCCATGTCAAATACTTTTTTTAAAAAAGATTTTTATTTATTTATGCATACAAGAACTGGGGTATAGGCCAGGTGTGTGCGTGAGGAGGGGTGAGAGGATTCACCAGAGACAGAGTGGGGAGCACAACAGATGAATCTACTGAAATACACTGCTGAGGGGAGCAGCGGGCAAGACAAGAGAGGTCTGCTGTGCCATGTGTGGGTCAGCTCCCTGGCTGGGGATAGAACTCATGCCACAGTGGCTGGCAATAGCTTGACAGCGCTGAGACTTCAACCCTGCGCCACCAGGGAGGCTCCATGTCAAATACTTTTGAAGCAAATTTCTGACAAAAAATTATATTTAATATTTCATTATGTGTCTCTAAAACTTAGGAAAAAAAGAGCATACCTAAGAATTCTTTTTATTACCAAATTATCTAGGATGTTGCCAATAGTCTTCATTTATTTTTAAATTGAATCAGAATCCAAATAAGGCTAACTCTTTGCAACTGGTAGATGTGCTTCTTGTCTTTTTTCCTTTGTTGACATAAATCAAGTGCATTATCCCATAGTTTCCTAGAGTATGAATTTTGCTGATCACATCCCTGGGTTATCATTTAATAAACTTCTCCCTCCAAATATATCCTATAAACTGGTAGCTAAACCTAGAAGCTATATAATTGGGATTCATTTTTTTGGGCAAGAGTATTTTACTGGGGATGTTAAATCATGAGGCACATAATCCTCCTGGTCAAAAACAAAATTTAAAAGTAAAACAATAGCGCCAGTAAAAAGATCAACGTTTGTGGAAATAAATTATTTCCATAAGTAAATAGAGCAGACTAAATATAAAGTTTCACACACTCTAAAACATAGCACCCACCTGTAATTCTTGTAAAATGGAGGCTGCCTCCTTCACATCACCATTTTGTTCTTTTATAGTTGCTAATGTTTTAGTCAGTCGAGCACGCTCTATTTCAACATAAATCTACAAATACAAGAAATTTATATTATCAAAATTCCTATAGCAATATCTGCAACTTTACTATGAGAAGCTAAATATGAAATCACAGCGATTAATAAATAACTGGACCACAGTTCTACATAAATGACACTGCCTTTTAAAAGGATTGGAAAGAAAATGTAAACTGTCTTTAAAAAAATTTTTGAATAATAGCACACTTTACAAAGAGAGCATGCAGTCCAGTATCTACAGTTCCACCAATACTGTGATTCTGCCTTCTTTTTTTTTTTTTTAACATTTTAAGATTTATTTTTGTTTACTTCTGCATACAAGAACTGGGGTATAGGCTACAGGGGTGTGGGGGAAGGGTGAGAGGATTCACCAGAGACAGAATAGGGAGCAGAGCAGGAAGATCTACTGAGATACACTGCTGAGGGGAGCAGCGGGTGAGACAGGCGAAGTCTGCTGTGCCATGTAGGTCAGCTCGCTGAACTAGTGGTGCAGTGGCTGGCGATAGCGTGACAGTATTGAAACTTTAAGTCCGGTGCCACCAGGGAGGCCCCCTGACTTATTTTTTAAATACAAGACTACTTGCTTTACAAATATCTGATATTGCAAAGTATTTAAGTTGTGAACCTTTCTTATAGCTATAAATAACATTAATGGATTTATAACTTCCAACAAATTAAACATTGTAAGTACAGGACTACAGCCTAATAATAGACTAGGGAACTAATTTACTGACCTAGGCCTGCCTACCCCTTAGTATTTGGTGTGGAACAAGCCCCTTGCCCTATTGCACCTCCAAAGGTGGTGCAATCTCAAAAAAAAACTTTAATCTCAAAAAAAAGCCCCAAAACTTGAATCTCTAATAATAAAAAAGCACTTACAGCTTGCTAAATCCACCATGCGTTTCTTCCCTGGCAGTTCTGTATGTAATTCCCCCTTGTGTATAAAATGCCCTTTCCCCTACTCCCCACCCTGTAGAACTTTTATTCATTCTTAAAGTCAGTTTGGCCATGACCAATTCTTTGAGGTTTTGGGCGCACCTCAGCCTGTCAGAAACAAAGGACACACAGCTACTGCCATGACAGGGCTCATCAACTATCCCTGTGTCTTTGTCTTCTGTGACAGTGACTGCCTTGAGGTAAAAAAGGATCTTGCCTCACTTTGACCTAGCACAACACAGGCGTTCAGTAAATATACACAAAGCCAAATTGGCAGTCAAAGAGTGAAGAGTCTATCCTCAAATTATAAAAATCTACCTAGAAAAGAAACATGTTCACCACAATCATCATTCCATACTTGCCCTTTTTAGAGACATGAGACTAAAGGGGAGAGTGGGGAAAGGCGCTGGAAGAAATACAAAAAGATTCTGGCAAGAGAGTGAAGTTTTGAAACTTTTTTTTTTTTTTTTTTTTTTTAGAGGCATGTTTTATTTATTTATTTGTTTGTTTGTTTGTTTATATATGCACTGGGTACAGTCAGAAGCGCGGGAGGGTGAGAGAATTCACCGGAGCCAGAGCAGGGAGCAGAGCAGGCAGAAGGACCGAAGTACACTGCTGCGGGGAGCAGCGGGCAGCAGGAGAGGTCTGCGCGCCATGTGGGACCCTCCTCCGGTGGCAGGGGAGCAGCCGGGGATCGAACCTGCGCGGCAGAGGCTGCGGGCAGCTTCGCAACCCAGCGCTCAACCACTGCGCCACCGGGGAGGCCCAGAGAGTGAAGTTTTGAAAATTAATCTTATGCTGTAAATGTTCTATTAATTTTAAAATTAAACCCTAGCTATCTCAAAGAAAATTTTCAAGCAAATCTAGGTCAGGGTGAAAAATTAATTAATAGTATCTTTAATTCATTATTACCAAATATAAATTTGGGCTAAGATCACTAATTCCTAGAAAAATCTGGATATTCCAAGACTATCGCTATTTAAACATACTCATTTGCATATGAGAAGACATTACAAGGAGATGTACTAAGATTCTGGTTGAACTAAGGTGATGAATTTTTTAAGTATTTTGTCTTAAAAAATAGACACATACACACTTATATAAAATCTCTAAATATGTAAGTATTGCTGAATACAAATTAGACAATACTTGTCACTATGAGTAATGACAGCAAAAAACTTACCTTTCCTTCTGTCACCATTCGTAGAGTATCGATTAATCGAAGCTTGATTGGAAGATCTGTGATTTCCTCGACGTAAGTACAGCACTGCTGTACCATTTTGCAACAGCCTAAAATAATAAAAACCATTCATAAATAAAATTACTCATACAGGAAAAATTTATTTTATTGATGAAGTGTTAGAGTCAAATATGGCCTTCCCAAGCAACTCCAGACACTGAAATGCCTATACAAGAACATCAAAGTCTCCTTGATAGCCAAGAAGTACTGAACGCCCAGTAACAAATGAATAAAGGTTAGGAAGAGCTCTCAGTCACAGACTTCACCACTCCTCACTACCACTGGTGAACTGACTTCACGGAAGGAGAGGTTGAGGAGGTATGTCTGGCAATATCTATCGGGAGGTTTATTAGCTAGTTGTGGGTTTTTTTTTTTTTTTTGCAGCCAAGCATAGATGCATGGAAGAAGTGGCAGCAGACTAAAGGAAAACAAGGTGGTGGGCAAGAGAAGCACAGACCAACAGTAGCTGTGAGGGCAGTGAAGCCATGACAGTTACTGTGGCTAAGGGAGTTAAGAGTCGGTGGCAAAGGTAAAGGTCAAACAGTTTGGTCATCGGAGTGGGGAGGAGGAAGCCCAGCACCTACACTCACCTCAGTGAAACGTGACATGGCAAGTCACTGCAGCTCTTGCCCAGTTTCCCCACAGGTTATAAGCAGGCTGGATTACATTTCCTTCAGCTTTAATATTCTATGATCTAGGTCAGTGGTCAGCAAACATTTTATGTATATTTTTGTAAATATTTTAGACTTTGGGAGCCACGGGGTATCTGTGACAACTATTCAACTCTGCCTTTGTAATCCCCAAGCTATATGGTCAACATTCGACACTGGGAGTAGTTGTCTTTCAACAGTTTTATCCACAAAGATGGCAGGTAGGTTTTGGTCTGTGAACCCATCATTCGCCAACCCCTATTCTAGATTCTGAACCGCATCCAACAATCATTGTAATAATAACTAGGACTCTTTGTCATCAAGAAAATGATGATTACAGTAAGCACTCTTTGGTAGAGATAGCAGAAAAGGAAAAGATATTAAGTTATCAGTTACACCTCAATAAAATGGACAAAAAAATTGTAAGATATATCTTGCAAAGATTTCCTTGAAAAACATTTAATGTTCATGTAGCTGAGATTTTTTTTTTAAATTACCTAAAAAACTGGCAGTTTGGAGACCTAGGAGTTCCAGAAAGCAAAGGTTTCATTGTAAAATATAACTCCTTCAGGAAGTGCGTGGCTCTGGGACACCTGGTATATCACAAAACATGATCCCTCTAAAACTGGTTATAATAATGATTTCTATAAGGGCAGCAACTCAATAATTCTAAAAGCTGTGCAGAAAATACATTTACAAAACTAGATGGGGTGAAAAGGAAAAAACAAAACTACTACATTAATATTCTAATGACAACACCCTGCTACTCTCTGGGAGAAAAAAAAAAAGGTGGGTAAGCCATTGGGATGTTAGAGCAAGGCTTACCCCCAGTTAATTAAAAACCGTTAATTTCAAGCAACCTAGAAAAGGTTATTTTAAAAAAATCATTACTTTCTAAGTCTGATAAAGCAAAACAGAAAAATTTTATGTAAAATGTAGTAATTCTAGGAAAAGGAAAGATGTATGCTGAGTTTCTAAGCTCCTTCCACAACATGTCACAGCAAAAAGAGTAGCCCCAGTTCCAGCTTTGGTTATATCATCAGCTGACTGTGAGGCTGGCTCTGAGTTCTTTCTTCAAGAAAGTCTATCCAGTAAACCTAATCAAATACTTTCCCTTCCTCCTGTCATATCTCTTAGCACTTTTCAGTACTCTCATGTCATATATATATTGCCTAGTGTGTGCACGTAATTTTTCCTTTTTAAAGAATAAGTCTTACGGCACTTGTTAAAGATGTGCTATGATAGGGCCTCCCTGGTGGAGCAGGCGGTTGAGCGCAGCGCTGTGAAGCTGTCCACAGCCTTTGTAGTGTGGGTTCGATCCCCGCTGGCCTCAGAGCAACCCACATGGCAAGCAGACCTCTCCTGTCTCGCCCACTGCTTCCCTCAGCAGTGTATTTCAGTCAGTCTGCCTGTTCTGTTCCCCACCTGTCTCTGGTGAATTCTCTCACCCTCCCACACATCTGGCCTGTATCCGGTTCTTGTATAAATAAATAAATCTTAAAAAAAAAAAATGGACTATGATAACTTATGATTTATATTCCATACTAACCACTAGGTTACTTGAAGACAAGAACTGTCAATGGCATGTTTCTTCACATTGCAAGAGCTTTACAACTAAATTTCAGTTTCCCCACCAGAAAAAGCAACAGAGGGGCCTCCCTGGTGGCGTAGGGTTTAAGTCTCAGCACCATCACCTCTAAAGCCTGGGTTTGATCCCCAGCCAGGGAGCCAGCTCACAGGCCTCTCCTGTCTCGCCCGCTGTTCCCCTTAGTGTATTTCAGTAGCTTTGCCTATTGTGCTCCCCATTCTGTCTCTGGAAATCCTCTCACCACATCCTCTCACTGCCCTGCCTCTAGTCTACACCCCAGTTCTTCTAGGCATAAATAAAGAAATCTTAAAAAAAAAAAAAAAGGCAACAGAATAAAACAGTCCCTTCTACTAGTTCTAATATTTTGTTATGAATTAAATCTCTATTTTAGGATACATGTTTTGAACAGTACTAATACTATATGTAACACCTATTTGTTTATTTTATCCCAGGTTGCCACAAGAACTCTAGATAAATGGCCTTTAAAAATTATTCCACCCATAGAAAGCAAATATCTTAGAAAATCGAAGGAAAATGACAGTTGATCTATATTGGCCTCTCAAGTCATACATTTCATATTCAAAAGTACTAGACTGCCTCAATACGTTAATTCTTAACACTGAATTTTATATGCACGGAAACTAATCTAAAAACAAAAAAGGGAACAATTACAGTAACTTTGTTTATTGCATAAAAGAATTTAACCCAGCCTTAATACGAAGCTCAGTCTAGCAGCTGAGTAATCAGTAAAATAAGGGATTTGAATAAAAATCCTATATTTCTGTTTCTGGCTCCACAAGTACCCTGTGTGACAATGTCATTATCTCTTTTATTTGCAAGCAAAATATAAAAAACCAGACACTGCTCAGAGAACAGCATGTCAAAAATGAGATATAAATGTAAAAAGTAGAATCTACTTTCACAAAGCATCATTTAAATATATCTCAGGCAGAAGAAGGAAACAGTAAAGAAAATCCAGCTTCACAAAAACAGCAAAACAAGAACATATATAATCTTTAAACGAAATGAATAGTGAAAATAATCTGTCTGAAAATGGCCTTAAAAATAAGTTAAGGGTTTAATAAAAGATATAAGATTAGGAAAACTATTATAGACAACACAGTCATTTAAAACAATAAACAAAGAATACTTTTATAAATGTCCTTATGTAAATGCTAACACATTTGTTTTTTGAGCAATCGTGAACTCACTTGTTTTAACTGACTCCGCCTTTTTGACAAAAGCATAATATTTTCATTAAGTAAATCCCATTCTTTAGCCTCATAGCACATCTTCACTACTGCAACTAAGATACGGGAGGTAGACACCATATCAGAAGCCTGTAAGAATGAAAATACATTACAAGTTAATAGAAAAAAAATAAGTGAAATCAATGGTGACTGAGATTTTCACTACAATCTACTTACAGTACGGGTCTGTTTTTCCAAAGAGAGAAGAGTTTCAATGACTTCTTGAAGTCTTCCTTCCTAAAACAAAAGATAAAAAATGAACACAAAACAACACCAACACAATACCAATAACTACTCCACAATGAGATGCTCCTGACAGAAAAACATGGCTTTGTTCTGGATTCTGACTTATCAACTCATTGTGGTGACACCTGTTACCTGTTCTCCACATGCTTAACTGGCAGTCACGAGTCTTTGAAGACTAAAAATGGGAAAATGAATGCTCTTTTTAAGTTCACCATGATTATTTTAAAACATGAAGTTTTAAGGAGGAAAAAAGGGAAAAAGATAGAAAACCCTGGCTCAGTTTTTCACTAACTTTAAAAATAAGTCAACAATGTGCTTAAAGGAAATGAAGACCACCTGAGACTACCCAAAAGCTATTTTTACTAAGTCATGCTCTGAAGCAGACACTGATCCAACTGAAATACACCCCTTTGTGTTAACTGATAACCCCATCTCATATGCAAAAACAAGTCTCCCTGGGACATACATTTAGAAATGAGAACCAAATTTAAATATGAACCTACATGATAACACAGCAGGACTAAAATAACCCAAATAAGCCATCCTAATAAGACTCTTATACTGTAAGTGCTGTAAGTCTCACCTGACCCACCACTGGAGTTGTAGCACCCTTCTTACCCTGGGGTTGATGGCCTCCCTGACACCCCCGACTCCGGTAACCACTATATTTTCAGAGTCTAAAAGTTATTTTTGTTGTGATTTGTTAGTTTTGCTTTGGTTATTTATATTCCACATGCTAGAGAAACCATCTGGCAACTGTCTTTCACTTTCTGGCTTATTCCACTTAGCATAATCACCTCAGTTCCATCTATGAGGTTGCAAAAGGCAAGATCATCTTTTTTAATAGCTGAGTGGAAATCAAGCACTTTGATTAAAAACAAACCAATTTTGTTTTTGCAAAAACTGCACAAAAATCGCATTTATTTAATATATTAATAACTGTAAATCAACAGGAAGTGATGAGGGCTTTATTTAGAAACTTTTTCTAATCATAAATGAAAAATTTTGCCTTGATATTCACGGATGGTACATACTAGTATTCTTTTATTGATGAAAAGAAACTAATCAGTTTATGAATTAAGGGTATAAGTAATGTTTGGGCTTTTCAAAAATCTGTTTCCCTATTTTCCAAGATAACTTTTAAGCTATGAATGTCTTTTTTTTAAGATTTATTTTATTTATGCATACAAGAACTGGGGGACAGGCCAGAGGTATAGGGGGTGAGAGGATTCACCATAGACAGAATGGGAACAGAACAGGCAGATACACTGCTGAGGGGAGCAGCAGGCGAGGCAGGAGAGGTCTGCTGCGCCATGTGAGTCAGCTCCCTGACTGGGGTTGAACTTGTGCTGCAGTGGCTGTGAAGAGCTTCATAGTGTAGAGACTTAACTTCTAGTGCCTCTAGAAAGTTTTTACCATCTTTCTAATCTCACTAGAAAGTAAACTCTGTGAGAGCAGAGGCATGTCTACACTGTCCACCACTGTAGCTCAGCTTCTGCACTTGGCCAAGAGCATAATGGTGCTTCCGTGGATACTTTGGTATATCCCTTAATAGTTGGCCTCATAGTTATTAATTTATATGTCTTGTCTCCTAAATGTTCTGTAAGTTCCCTTAGAGCCGGAGCTTGCTTGATTATTGTTGCTACCCTTATACCTCCTTGCACTGAATGGATCAACACTGACTTAAACTTCAGTTGACCTCAATGACTTACAATTTCTGATTCTAGCTGTCATAGTAAGTAGGACGTAGTAAGTTACATGCCTGACAATTCAGGGCCATCTGAGGGACACGAACATCTATTTGTTATAACACCTCCCGATCCTCTAATCAGCCCACTTTCCCCTCTCAATCTTCCATTTCAGTCCTCAGGCTAACCATATTCCTCTAGTCTTTCACATCTATCCATAGCTGTCAAAATTCTACCTTCTTGATGCCTCCTTTCAATTCAAAGGAAAAGATGGTCCAAGCGATCAAAACCAACTTGTTATGAGCAGCGCTGGGTTCAACTCTGCATTCGATGCTACATCCACATGGCGCGCACCTCTCTGTGCTAGCAGTGTACTTCGGTCCTTCTGCTGCTCTGCTGCTCTGGCTCTGTGAATTCTCACCCTGCGCTTCTGACTGTACCAGTGCATGTAAACAAAAAAACAAACAAATAAATAAAAGCATGCTCTTTAAAATTTAACTTGTTAGAACACATGACTTAACTCATTTTCTCATTAAAATAATCCTTGTAATGAGTAACTGATGGCGTTTGTTCAACATAAATACATGCTGGGTGTCTAGAAAATGTGTGTGTTTGGGTGTTAAAAGAATCCAATCTTTTAATGATTTGTTAAATTTAAACAACAGAAAGGTCAAGAAAGAATCACAAATAGCTGAAATTGAATGCCAATCCAAATTTTAAAGACCTTTTTCTTAGAGGCCTTTTATTCAAGTTGCTAACAACCAGTGAACCGTTTACACTGTCACCTCGGGTAAGATACCAACTCTCTCCTGCTTTCAATCTTCTCTTCAGTGAAATGTGCCTAATAACATTTCCCGTCCCGTAGGGTTGGTATAAGTATTAAAGCACCAAAGTATGCCGGGACATAGTATGCATATCATCAGCATAATAGCTAAGACTATATGGACTTAAATATTACTGTTATTTGCTAGTGAATATTGAGACAATGATACAGAATGTACAGTCACTGAGGTGAGAAACCGTACCCCTGAAACCTGTACAGTACTTAAACTTGTTTCAGTAAAAAAGAAAGAAGACATAGAAACAGAATTGTACTAGATCACAACTATAGGAGAGTCAGAGAGCTTAGATTCGGCAATTTTAGCACCCAGGCCTAGATTCAGTCTGTCCTTGGAAGGCTTCTGCTACATGTGGTCTTAAGTCTCTAGACACATGATTTTTTAAATTATATTTATATATATATTTTACATCATTTTTTTAAAAATTAATTTTTTGTTCAATGAGTTTAATTTTATTATTATTGAGGTAATGTTGGTTTACAGCATATAGTTCCTATATGATTTATTTATTTATTTAAAAATTTATTATTTATTTATATAAGTACTGGGTACAGTCAGAAGCACAGGAGGGTGAGAGAATTCACCAGAGCCAGAGCAGGGAGCAGAACAGGCAGAAGGACCGAAGAACACTGCTGAGGGAGCAGCAGGCGGCAGGAGAGGTCTGCGCGCCATGCGGGACCTTGGCCCAGCAGCCGGGGATCAAACCGGTGCGGCAGAGGCTGCGGGCAGGTTCGCAACCCAGCGCTCAACCGCTGCACCACCGGGGAGGCCCTTACATCATTTTTTTAAACAATGTTTGCTTTTTTTTCTCAGGTGTAGTCCCCATAGAATTTCCACCACCAATTCACCCGTGCACCATCATCATATGTAGACACAAGATTTTTATCTCCAAAATGTCTTTCACATTAAAAATAAAAAATGTCTTGAATCCAAATGTCTTTAATTTTATCTAGTTTAACAGGCTCCAATATTCTTGTTTTAAAAAACTTCAGTTACCCATTTAACACCTAAAAAGCTATTTGGCATTTGTAGTTTGTCTTTTTAATCATATGACAATGTCCTAAGTAAATGTCATAAATGTGATTGCTAGAACAACTGTAGCAGTGAAATATTTCTTACAAACCCTTACTGGCATATAAGGTATATGAGGGCAAGAGTTCTAATAATCTTTATATTCCCCACAATGTCTAGCACTGACTAGGTCTTGCACACACAGGCTATCAAAAGAAATTGTTTTATCTCCCAGGCCTGTTTTAAAAACAGTTGTACTTTAAAACAAATTTTTTATTTGGGCCTCCCTGGTGGTGCAAGGGTTTAAGCCTCAGCACTATGAAGCTGCTGGCAGCCACTGTGGCATGAGCTGATCCCCTGGCCAGGGAGCTGACCCACATGGTGCAGCAGACCTCTCCTGTATTGCCTGCTGCTCCCCCTCAGCAGTGTATTTCAGTCAGTCTGCCTGTTCTGTTCCCCACTCTGTCTCTGGTGAATCCTCTTACCCACTACCCCCTCCACCTCTGGCTTACACCCCAGCTCTTGTATGCATTAAATAAATAAATCTGAAAAAAAAAAAAATCACCCCAAATTTCTTCTTTATGGACACTTTAATTCTATTAATTCTGAAATGGCGATTCAGGTGCTGACTTTGGCCTGTAGGTATGCTTTGTTTGATCTACATGATAATGGCTCAAATAGTATTTTAGAACAAATTAGTGTCTAGTTTCCAAATATTCAGGTTTTTAGTATGAAATCTATATTCCTGCTCTCTCCTTTAAATTACAAGAGATGACATGTCTCTTCATCCCCAACTGACAAAGGTTAACTGGAGGTGAAGAGTTACTGCCCCCGTCCCCTGAGCATTGCTCAGAAGTTCAGTTTCCATTACACTGGGCTCACTAGGCAAGACAGCATGGCGAGGGCACAAGCCCTCGGATTTGCATCTCGCTCCACCACTTTACTAGCAGTATAACCTCAGCACAATGGGATTCAACTTCTCTTACTGTGTTTTCTTGCCTTGAAATACTAATAACTATGACATAGGGCTAAGAATCAAATTATTAAATACATATAAACATTTAACCTAATGTCTAGCACAGTAGAAAGTACCCAATGAATGTCAGCTATTGTTATTTGCCTGCCACTCTCAGTGTGTTTCCCCACCCTTATGTAAACGATGATGTTTCTTCAGACCAGCTGCTAGAAAGTGCAGGGATAAGTTTATGGCTCCTCTCCCTCAAGTATACTTGAACCTAAAAGAAATACAGGTGTACCAGCTTCATCACCTTTTCCTACACTTACTTTTCATAAAGCCCCATTAAATTCTTTTTGGGGAAAAAAGGCACTAAAAAGGTTTCTTTCTAAGAACTAAATGTGAAGTATCACTTAACATTCTTCTTGACCCTGAATTTATTACACTTTAATGTACTTATGCAGTAAGCTCCTTAAGGGATAAAAACAACTCTATTACCAAATTCATCCCTGGTGAACAGCAATAAATGTTTGTGGCTGGACTGATCAAGGTATTTAATGAGGCCTGAGCACAATCCTGAGCAATAGCCTATGATGGAGTTGATTCAACATGCACTCTAAACCCAGTTAGGCAAACCAAGTTTTGAATCCTGGTTCTATCACTAAGTGTAACACGGGACAAAAAACCAAAACAACAACAAAAAAACCCCCTCAGCCTTGATTTCTTTATATGTAAAATGATACACAAAATTGCTTGACACATAGCAGGGAGGCAATGATAAATGTCGGTATCAAGTTAAATTTCTATCCCGATGGCAGATAAGCAATCGGGCCAAACTACTGTTCAAAACCTCCTCTAATTAGTTTATTTCGGACTTTAGTGTCTATTTGTCTTTACTTCTGTACTTCCCCTCCAGGAATTACTCCCTCCCATTCCGATCTTACCATTCTTCAAGACCCAACACAAATGTTACCTTCTCTGCAATACCTTCCCTTATCCCACCAGTGAGAATGAGGCTTCCTTCTGTGTTCCAGGAACACTTTAGACTTGCATGGCACTCACCATCTTTCATGACTTGTCTAGTAGGTTATGTACACGAACCCCTTAAGGACTGGGGTTCCGCGTCCATCACCTCCTACCACCACTTTCTGCCCCTTCTGGCCAAAGGCCAGGCACAACGCCACGATCGGTAAACATCTTGTCACAAACTGATTCAGCATGGGCGAACAGAACGAAACTCTCTGATCCAGCCTGAATGATGAAGCTTCCCTAATCCTCGAGAAACTTAAAAGTCAACGTGACGCTGTATCCAAGAAAAGGCAAAAGCAAACAAAAATTACTAGAGGGCCCCAGCTCCTCCGGGAGCGGGTGACCATGGGTGCGGCGGAGGGCTGGGGGCGCTGGAAGCACCAGGTGCTCCGGCTGGGGGGTCTCCCAGGCCGGGCAGCCCGGGATCTCCTACCCACGCAGCCCCAACCCCGGCAGGGCAGGCAATGGGGGGATGCGCGCTCCAGCCCGCAGGCCCCTGAGGCCTACAGGCTGCGCGCCGTGACTCAGCCCCTGGCGCCCGCCAACAGCCAGCCGGCCTCACCTCACCTTGGCCAGCTTCTCGCACTCGGGCAGACGCTGGTCCACCGTGGCGCTGTAGTCCACCTCCATCTTGACGATGCGCCCATCTGCCCGCTCCGAGCCGCCGTCCGCCATGGTCCCTGCCTGAGCGCCCCTTGATGTCCCCTGTTCGGCCACTGCTCGTCACCCACACCGGAAGCAGCGCGCACACCCGCTCAGGCGTGTCGGAAGCCCGCGCGAAGGACCCCGCAAGGCCCCCTGCGCCGGCCGCCAGTCAGGCACTGGCGCGGGCAGCCCTGGGGGCGGGGCGTGGGCGGGGCGTGGGCGGGGCTCGGCGCTCGCCTGGCAGGCTTGTGCGCTCTGGGCTCTGGAGACAGACTTACCCCTCTGGAAGCTGTGGTGAGGGGAACTGGTGCAATAGCATGGACCACACCATTTATAGTCTTACACCCCTGCTTTGGAATACTATGATTTCTTCCAGCCGTGAGCAAGTCCCTTCACTTTACTGGGATAGGGGCTTTCTCGTCGTGGTGGCTGCCTCTGTGGAATTTCTGCAAGTTCCCAAGGAAAGCTATAGGGCCGCGACTCAGTAAGATAAAGTGATTTTTGTTTTGCTTTCACTTTTACTATAGTCCACTTCGTTGGTAAGAATGATCTTTTGGAAAGAGATTTTATTTGCCAGTCCTGTAGGACGTTGGTGAGCATGAATTAAGGTCACCTAGGCCAGAATATTTCATTGCTAAGGATAGTGCAGGCTTTATTATCAGCCACGCCCTCGTGTCCTTATTTAAAACGCCTAGGGTCCTTGAAAGTGCGAATGAGGTTGTGTGTGGTGTGGTCAAAGCGTCAACTGTGGCTTGGGAGGCAAACAGGAGATTTTGGAGTGATCTAGCAGTTCTCAATTTAATCAGCACCAGCATCCCTGGATGCATGCCAAATAGATATTTTACTGTTTTAAAGATTTATTTTTTATTTATTTATGCATACAAGAACTGGGGTGTAGGCCAGAGCTGGAGGGGGGTGGGTGGGGAGAGGATTCACCAGCGACAGAGTGGGGAGCAGAACAGGCTGATGTCCTGAAATGCACTGCTGAGGGGGGCAGCGGGCCAGGCAGGAGAGGTCTGCTGTGCCTTGTGGGTTAGCTCCCTCCCTGGGGATGGAAGTCAGGTCCCAGTGGCTGTGGGTAGCTTGATAGTGCTGAGACTTTAACCCCTGCATCACCAGGGAGGCCCAATATTTTACTGTTTTATGAAATTCGTATAATATGACCCATCTATACACAGTTAAAGCAAGACAACATCCTGGCTAAAAGAAGAAACCTTTAAGAGGGCAAAATAATATATATTTCAAAATGTAAAGGCTAAAATACATCTACAGTAGAAATAACAAGCAAGTGGCCATTTGTACCCACACACAATAACTGTAAATGCAAATAGGTGTGTTCTGTTGGTTCCTTAAGCATCAAAAGGGCTTTTTGGCAGCCAGATTTTTCCAAAACGATGTACAACTCAGTAAAATTCTGACTTACAGTATCATCTTCATTGTTTTTCACATAGATGAGTTCTTAAACATTTTAGAGCATATTAAAACTTAAAAAAAAAAATAACCTGGGGCCTCCCTGGTGGTACAAGGGTTAAGCATCAGCACTATGAAGCAATCTACAACTACTGCAGCATGAGTTCAATCCCTCGCCAGGGAGGTGACGCACATGGCACACAGACCTCTTCTGGCTCACCTGCTGCTCCCCTCAGCAGTGTATTTCAGTCAATACGCCTGTTCTGCTCCCCCCTCTGTCTCTGGTGAATCCTCTCACTCCCCGCACCTCTGGCCTACACCCCAGTTTTTATATGCATAAATAAAAATAAATCTTAAAAAATAGCCTGGCACATGTCGATCTTCAGTAATCCATACCTGGAACATATGTTACAATGCAATGTCACTTCAATAAAAATATGATAGAAAACTAAAAAAAAAAAAAAAAAAAAAGTGGCATATATAAAATGGAGTTAGAGTCTAGACCTCAGACATCTGAGTAGGAGTCGTCTGGCGGGCATTCAAGTCTCACAAAATGTGGGACCATATTTTATTGTTTA